CGGGGTTTATATAATTCTCAGGGTGCAGTCCCTGTTTCCTGAAGAATTTCAGGAACACTGTCATCTCTCCTAACTGTTATAAGAGGTACCCGGCTCACTACGGCTCAGAGCTTGACCCGGCTGTTACTGGCTTTTAGCAGAGATCTCAAACCTTCTTTGCCGGGGAAGCTGTGGTCTGGGCTTTTTTGGCGTCGCGTTTTCGTTTTTGGCGTCGCGACTTCTCCGGGTCACAAGGATGCAGGACGCTTATCAGAGCCATGGTCAAGTCGACAAAGATCATGGTCAATTCATGTGACGGACGTGGATTTCCAGTGAAACGGTCGCCGCCCCAGCCCAAGTGGTCGCCCCAGTCAAGTCAGCAGAGTTGTTCAACCTGGAGCCCCTACCCTATCCTTACCCCTATACATGTAGGTTGACATTTTGGGGTGACGGTCAACGGGTCGGTCTCGTGATGGTCACCCCACCGGGTGCTTTCTCACTCGGTCCTTCGCGGGTGGCGTGGCGTGGACTCTCTCGGTCCGGGCTCCAGCAGCTTCGTGTCGTGCCAGCCGATTTGGAATCCACTGCAGGGCAGACACTTACCACAGAATAAACGTCCTAGGACCTGGCATTGATTTGTAGAAACATGTGGTTTGATGGAGCCATTTTCGCCACAGAAGAAGACTTCCGGATCGTAGCTCTGAAGGCTTCCGAGTGAGAGCACTTTCGGTTCTTCTCCTGACCACCAGAGAATACGTGGAAAATACTGCAGGTAAAGAAACTTATAACTTATCCAATTAAAACTGCAGGTACCTTATAACTTATAACTTATAACTTGTGTTGGGCAAGTTGTACAACTTATCCAATTCAACTTCTGCGAGTGCCTCATGATGAGCTCTCCGAAGGAGATCCCATCGCATCGCGCGACGTGTGCGGCGAGCGCATGCGCGCGCCACCAGGCAGGGCGAGCGCGCGCGCTCAGAGAATGATATAGAATGCTTTGCAAATCAGCAAATTGGTACTGTAGGTGAATCGCACAAGAAGAAAACCATGAGGCCTCCGTCGGGGTGGGTGTTTGCAGGAGGGTGACCATAGTGGGGCCTAGATATCCTAGATAAATCCACTTACCACCAAGAAATACCGAAGGTGTTTGAAAGCTCGTGTTTCTTCCCCTTGGATCACCTTGGGTTTGGTGTTTACTCACTGTTTTATGTCGTGGTGGTGTGGCTCCGTCCCATCCAGTGTTCAGGGTAACTCCTTCCTCCACCTCCATGGATGGCATCCTGTCCTCCAAGGAACTGCTCAACTTCTCTCCAGTCTCCCGCCATCTCCAGGGTCTCCGGTCTGACCGCCCACCCCTCGGCGGGTCTCCGGTCTCGTTCACCGCGGAGAAACTCCTCCGGTCTCCGGTCTCCTCGTTTGCGAGGAGCTGCGACCCGATGGCCTCCGAAGTTGGCTGGAGAAATTAGGCAGTGGACCCGGGCGGAAGAACTCGGAGGTTTCACGAGGGGAGTGGACCCGGGCGGAAGGGTGGGAGGCAGAGACTGGGGACGAACTTGGAGGAACATTGGGGAGTTTGGGCCGAGTTTGGGGAGGGTCTTTGCATATGGCATAATACGGCCTGTGTTTACGATTCGATGAATCCAGGATTGAATACCCTGACTCTGCATGAATTAACACTCCAATTTCTGCAGACCTTTTCTTGGAAAGATGTCCAAAGGAGTCCAAAGGAGTCGCGATCGTGTCTGTGGTTGAACAACATGAGGTTTATCAAGGTATTGCACTGCCTATCAGGCTTATCTTCAGGAAAACACACCGCAGCTTGAGGCAAGAGAATTGGGGGCATGCTCTATAGGAGGCTCAATATGATGCTCTTATGTGCCCACTTAGTAGCTGAAAAACCGGAACCAGTCCGTGTTCCTCGGCAACCGCGGCTTCAGCCGTTTCGACCCGGTCCCGCCCCCCCGGGCCGCCCTTTAAGCGACGGAGAAGGCCTTGAGCACTTGGAGCCAGAGGTGATCGCTTGGTGTGCCTCGCTTGGAAGCAGGGAGGGTGTCGCGTTTCGGACGTTTTTGTTCTCCGTTTTGGGGTCAGGACCGGAACCCCCAGTTGGACAGGAGGTCGCCAGTCAGGTCATACATGATGATTCAGAGTAGTATGTGAATGTCTTCTGTTGGTGCTTGTGGATCTCTGCGGTTTGGGCTTCATGAACATGTCATGTTCTTCACCGAAGGATCCAACGGTGGTCGGTCGGATCGGACACACCGGTGTGCCGAGGTCTCTCAAGACATCGCGCGGAGACATCGCACCGCCCTAAGGTACTGAGCAAGGTGCCGTTTTCCTGGAGGAGAAGTCCAGAAGTCCAGGGCCCCCTGGTAGGGGGCTGCGGTCGAGCTGCGAAGGAATTATCATCCTGCCGAGCTGAACCATTGGAAGTCATCAGTTATTTCGGCCCTCAAAATTCGCAGATCAGGTGTGCCTAGCCCTGGATTGTACGGAGATGTACGGAGTATTGAACTCTGAATACAGAATAGATGCTGGTTGGTGAGCATATATATGGTGACATGGCTGTCCTTCAAGAAACAACCCTGGGTATACTGGACGCATCAGGCCTATCGACCACTGTGCCCATTCTGCGAAGTCCTGCACCTGGATGGTGTTATGAAGCGCAGTCAGCTTAGTCCACTGTAGTGGCTTCCAAATCCATCAATTTTGTGCACAGCGTTTGGTCAGAAATACTGCGGATCTGTGTCCTCTTGCTAGAAGAAAGCCATCGGCACAACTTGGGAGCCTGCAGAACAGATCATAAACACCACCATTCAATATAGCATGCCGCAAGGAAGAACTGCCAAACGGACACCTGGATGTTTCCAGCGACTTTGGATCTGTTGGTTTGAGGCCACTTAAGACTTAAGCCTGTAAAAGGCTACTTAGGGATTCCAAAAAGGTCACTGGGAAGGTCCTGGATCGGATGTTTGGTTTGGTTTGGTTTGGTTTGTGTAGTAGTAGTAGTAGTAGTAGTAGTAGTAGAAGAAGTAGTAGTAGTAGCAGTAGTAGTAGCAGGAGTAGTAGTAGTAGTAGCAGTAGTAGCAGCAGTAGTAGCAGTAG